CATTTCTACCAGTCATGTGCTTCTGAGGCTACTTGCTCTCTAAATGTTGTGTCAAACTAAGTAACACGGTTTACTTAGTATAGTCAAATCGGTATAACAGTGTCACAAATACAGTGGTATAACAAATCGGAAATTTATATTATCAATGGCTGATATAACATTTTTTCAAAGTACATCCAAACGGAACTATACAGTTTTGATACTCAGTTACAAAGCACTAATAATAAAAATGTTATAAATTCAACTTAGAGAAGTTAACTCATTGTTATAAGCAACCTTCCTAAAGGGATACTCGAGTTTACAACACTTGTTGTGACAAGACTGACTTGTCAGTTGAGAGACTTCTGGTCAATTGTTAAGCAACAAGTCTGTTTAAGCCACTTCCTGTCAGTTAAGACAACGGAGGTCAATTGAGCCAAAGTTTCAACCGAGGAAGACACAGTCTATTGTCTACAGCTGGGTCAGGTCTATTAGTCAAAGAACAGACTATAGAACCAAGTCTTTAGTCAAAGCCGATCTTCACTAGTCCATATCGTTTTGTGATCAGATATTCAGTATTTGATTTTACTTTAGAATAATGAAGTAGACTTTTCATCTATGGACCAGCTGTTCCCAACATTTTTTTAGAAATTTTCCAATAACAGGGATTAAGCTATTACCGTAGGTCTAGTAAGACCTAGACCCATTTTTATGGGGTAAAAATAGGGGTTACTCATTTTCCTCCTCAAAATATAAACATTTTGTTTAGTCTGCAGGTTTGCTGTGGTGGGGTATTTATGTTGGATAAAAAATTGAAAATGAGACTTTCACTTAGTTTTGATACTTTTAGGTTGAGTAACCAAAAATATGCTAAAGTTTGCAATGAGTTTGGTTCTGTTACAAATTTGCATATGCGACAGAGAAAAAAACTGTAATTGATCGCAGAACATTCTGTCGATATTTAACTCAACTGTGATTATTTTTTTACTGGATTCAAGTTTCAAATGGGAAAGAGATACCACAGTCAAATATGTTAGTTAAAAAGGATTTTTAATACATTTTGGTAAGGATTAGGTTCACACTTTAAATTAAATTATTAAATAGTTTTATACATTTTAATTTTTCCATTGAAATACCAATAATTGCAATCCAATTATATTTGCGGAAAATGTGCAATATATCTAACATTATTACAGTAGTTATTGATTTATTTACTGAAAAGTCCAAAATAAAATACTTTAATAAATCATATCTGTATAGAATCGCCAAACCTTAGAGCTCGTTTTCTCGATAAAGTACTAATTTTCCTGTTCATACGCGTAAGACAAATACTGCAACCACTTAACGTTATTTGGACGTTACTGAATAACACAGGTTTATTTGACAGGGACCTGTAATATAATTACACATCCTTTGCTAAAATTACCTTCACAAGGAAAATATGTCGTACAATTATTGTATAATTTCATCATGTCTTTGAGGAAGAGTGGCATTGTTACCACTATTTAACTTTGCCGCATGTGTTAACATTGTTAGAAATTATTTTCTTAAATAGTACTAGTAGGCCTTCTTGCTACTAAAATTAAATTACGTAATACAAAAATATCGACTTCCATACTTAAACTCGTCCAAGGCAGTGGATATAGGCTATAAAACCCCCGCCGCAGCAAACCTGCATACTAAGCGAATTTCCATTAGCCTGATAGGATTTACACTAAAATGCCTCCTTAAAAATATCACATTTTATTCCCTATTTAAATAGAATTAGTTTAACGAGTACTTAGGTTTGGTGCAACGGGGAGGGTAAAAAGGTAATTTTTTTGTAAAATGTTAATAGTTTAATAAAAATTGAATGTACTTTCAAAATTCGATCAAAATATGTTCATAAACAAGCAAACTACAACAGTTGACTTATTCTCCGTAAGAACAACATGGGAATTTTCAATTTTCAATTTTTTGGAATTTTCTCCGTAACCTTTAGGCGCACAATAAAGCTTCAATATACAAAATTATTTGTTTTTACACTTTTGTACTAAAATTCATCAAAATCGGATCATTTTTGCTCGAGCTATCGTGCTAACGGACATATTTTAACCAGTCATTAAAAAGTCAAATTACAAACTACTTAAGTAATAAAACGATCGTCGAAAAATCTGTTATTTGCTATAAAATTAATCAAACTTATCAAACATTTGCAGCAACTAAAATGTTGTTTTAATTTGCAGATTCGTAACTTTATTTAATAGATTTTTAACATAAATTGATTTAGTATTTTAAAATTGTTCATAAATTTTTATTTGTTACCCTTTTTGAAGTAGTTTAAAAAACTTAGGTTTATACTGGTTTAAACAGTATCTTGTATAACTTACGTAAGAGGATAAACTAAGTTGAGTTCATAGAACATACATTATCAAACTTAGACTTACTGATGGAGTTAGAAGCACTTAGTTTAGTTTGTACCAAAGTAACTTCTTGTGTTACTTTCCGAGATGTTATGGCCTACATGGAAATTAAAACAAGTAGTGATTTTATTCCATTATTTTACACAACATGACACTATTCAGTAACCTTATTTTTTATATACATTTTTTTCATTTTTATTATTTACATTTCAGTGGTTGTTTTGTGTATTAAGATTTTAATAAGTATACAATTATTAAACAAAATAGTTTCATTAAGCATGATATGATTTAACAAAAAAGCTACAAACAAAATAACTTTTACACAAGGATTACTGAAAGAAAATATTTAGTTTACCCTTTAATCTTTTACAAAATGTTTTATTTTACTATACACTTTTTTGCTTAAGCTTGTGTAGATTTTGCAATTAATTTTTTGCTAAGTGTTTGATTTGGTTTATTTTTTTATTACCCCTTGAATTTACGGTATGAGTTAAGTACATCCAATAATTTACTATTTTGAAGTAGTAATTAATTTTAGTTAATACCTTTCAGTGTATACTACTGTTAATAATAACTGCTTATTTGTCATTCCATTTCAAATTACCGTAGTGCATGTACCGTATCATGGACTACTAAATAATCGCAATTAAAAACTCCATATTTTTGTAATTTATTGTTTGTATTTTAAATGTATAAACTCAATTATTTAATTTAAATAAAAATAGTTCATTTGGTATATATATTGTTAATAAAAAGTAAATGTATTTCAGTAAAATTAACTTGTAAATTTAATTTTAAAACATTTTCCTTTGTTCTAACTTAGTACTGGGCCACGGTACCAGCAATACATTTTTTCTCGTAATTGCTTCTTATATCCAAAAGAAGTATTGTTGCAATTTGTGAGCTAAAATTGCCAACTTCAGCTGCAGATTGTTAGTGATATTGCTTTTATCTTCAAATTGTGCAAAACTATGACTAAGTAATGCAAACTTATTCTAAACTACACAATAGCACATTCAACATAAACTTTAACTACACAATCATAATAAAAACTTAGCTCCTTACTAAACAGTTAGTCTCAATGGCATTAATATTGGACTGTTTGGTTTCATAATTACTTCTTCAATTGCGTATAAAAAAATTTTTATTTTATTACGCACATCCGTAAAATTATAGTAATCTAAAAGGATATTTTTTTTAAGCTAAAGATATTCTTATTCAAAATTTAATTCAAACATATTACGACTCCGTCTTATTTCAGTTGGTTTCGTATGCATGGTTCGGTTTGTTTATATGACGTTTACATGACCTTTACCGCATGAAGTAGTTATAAAAAGACATCTCCCTCAACTTTAAGTTGTACTAACTTAAGTTCAATACTTAGTTCCCTTGAGCCTAAAGTCACTTTTCTAGCTTAACCCTGAATTACAAAATAATGTGGATGAAAAACTCGGTTAATTTAAGTATTTCATCTTAATGAATCCCGAAACCTTTATTGGTTTGGCCATACTATTTTGCCCTAAGTTGTGTACATTTTATACACTGTAAGATATCTAAAAATATGTTTAAATTGCATGCAATTTAAATTACGTTGACCTTAACAATTTTTTCCATAACGTGAACTCGAACGTCTGAATAAAATTAATGGGATTGAGATATTTTGAAATACTTAAATTTGATGTACAGTATCGATGGTTTATATGGATTGTTACTTTTAATGGCATAAACAGCAGTACATCATCTAGAAATTAACTGGTTTGTTCTGTTTATTATATAAAATGTCCATTATTCATGAATTTTACACTCTAAAACAATAAATTAAGAAATTTAATATATTATTAACACGTGCCTGGTTAACACTTGGTTTATACGCAGCGTACCTTATAATCCCCTAAAATATATTAAAACGCATTTTTTACTGAGAAATCTATGGGTATTGCACCCATTAGCTTAAAAAACTCCTGAACTGGTTGTAAATTATAAAACTTGTGTTAGTAAAATTGATTTACTTCTTAGGTATTTTTAACATTATTAGTTAACAGACAGCCCAAACCTCAATACTATCTGACGTCAACCTTTCGTTAGTTAACATAATTAATAATTGATATCCCAACTGTAAAAATTGGTCAAAATTTTTTTCTGCCCGGCATCAAACCCCGCAACCTTTGGATTTGAAGCTTATCATCAGCTTTGTATTATCCACTCATCTCCTCAATAAAATACAGAATTCAATTTATCTTCGCTAAAGAGTTGCGAATGTGTGTCAAATATCTTGCTGTCAATTTATTTGCAGTTTTATAAAATGGTATACACAATCAAGTAAGTATATCTCAAATACTTAACAGCTCAGCGTTCGTTTTATGCTCGATTACATTGAAGTGCGGTAATTTCAACTTGAAATGTTTCGTACTAAGATAGATGATTCAGTAATTTTTGGTTTTTCACTATGTTTCATCTTACATAAAATTAGTTTACAAGTTTTTGAATGCCTTACTGTCGTAGACACAAATAAAAAATAACCAAGCCTTATTTCTAGCAAAGAAATCTACACACACTGCTATACATCCAACGTACACAAATAAATCTATAAATGAGTGTATTTAATTTATATAACACTACCTTGCAACAACCCGACGAGTAGAAGTCCTGAAGGTATGTTGAGAAGCATCTCGTTCTACCAGATCACCACAGTATCCATGTAGAAGATAGATAACACGTGATCACCACGACGCTAGGTTCACCGCGACGCTATAGATACGTACACGACGCGACGCCACAGTATACTGATGCTGTGATACAGCGCGCCGCGGCGCTACGGGGAGAATTACCCTGCAGCGGGGAATTGCGTGGGAAATAGGGTAATTTTGCAGATGTTGATTCAGTTGAAGGTGACGATTTTATGTCAACAGTGCTGTTTACCAATTCAATTTAAACAGCTGGTTTTTGTAAATTGGGATTGCTATAGTGGCATTCGATATTGTTGAACGATATTCAGATACAGGGTATTTTAAACGCAACCCAAATAATTAAAACTACAGTGAGAAACGTTTTACAACAAAATAGCTCATAGCATCCTGCTGTCTTTACTTAATTTCTGATCAAATATGCTTTGTTACATAGTTTGTTATCTCAGGTTTAGTGTTAGTTTGAAATCAACTATGTAAAGAGTTATGATTATATCGTTGGTTGAAATTTACTGTCAATAATATTCATGGTGTTTTTACAAGCTCCAATAGAGTATGTATTGTAGGTATAGTTTTTTTGTTTACTACTGATCCGGTTTCCTTAGTACATGTCAATAAAAGTTGATTTAGTAGATACTGGAATCACACCTGGAAAATTAAACCTTTTTAAAAACTAATGATTTACTATTACCGTACTCTAACCCTATGAGCTTGGGAAAACGACATGTGGAGTCCTACAACATGCCTAATAACTCTAAACCTCATGGATAACTTTGGGAAAATGTACCTAAGGTGATCGGTAATGAAGTAAAACAAAACAGGGATGCCAAAATAACCTTGTTTTGTCATTATAATGTGCATCACAGTACTTTTAATTTGGATTGCGTAAAAAACACCCTTTTTTAGGCTAGATAAATCCTTACTTAAACTCTGAACGTAGGCTACAGTTTGAGAGTTGTTCCCCGTTCCCCAGAGCCCTCAATCAGAAGGGCCGTGTCTGTCTACAACGTTTTTGCCGATGTTTGTCCCAACTCGTTACGTACTTTGCCCTGTGACCAGACAAACTTGCACCGTTTATCAACGTAAGCACTTACAAAACTCGGGAATTGATTGTGGTAAAAATTTTGTTTCAGTTGAATGTTGTACTATTACTTTTAATCTTAAATATAATTCTAGACTACAAAAACATTTGGCGCAAATAGGAGCTACAGTAGTTTGTAGTTTTATGTAAGACTAGAGGTCGTTCAGTGGCCGAAAACTCTACCAAAAATATGTAATGTTTAAGACTTTATCTCTATTTTCAACCCCACGCTGTAAATGAAACATGATTGGAATTTCTTCCATTTATTTTTATTTTCTGTTTATATTTCGTTATTATTTCGTCACTAGCATGGCAACCCATAAGGTCCATATTATTTTGTTGTAATTTTAAATTAACTAGAGGTTGTCCACTTGTCGAAAACTCGACCAAAAATATCGAATGCACAACAGACTTCTCTATTTTCACCCCACGCTGTAAATAAAACATGTGATTTGAATGTCATCCATTTGTTTTGATTTTCTGTTTATATATCGTTGTTATTTTGTCACCAGCATGGCAACCCTATCAGTCCCATGTTATTTTATTTAATTTTAAATTTATTTTTGTGTTTATTTTTTATCCTATTTTAATTTATAAAGGGATTCTGCACACCTACAAAAAATATCTTTCTAACAGTACCGGTATACATAGATTTTCCCTACGATCCACACGAGCTGAGAAAAAAAGGTTTTAAAGAATCATGCTTGCCTAGTAATATATAGATTGTTTGTGCTTATTAGGCCTATTTAGCCTATTTTAGTTTATAAAGGGATTCTGCACTCTCATTGCCATTGACAGTGATGTAGGCAATTGTATAGGCTTTTCTTATTATCAAAACATACCTAGGTATCTATAAACCATATACAGTAAGTGTTTACAGGATATAAGTGTTATAAATGGTTAATGTGTAGTAAAATCTCCAGTATCTACGATAGGGGAGGAGACTCAATAAAATAAACCTTTATTGAGACTAACCGGGTCATTACAAATGCCTACATTGGCTCTTAAGATCAAGTATCCTACACTATTCTATAGTTTATGAGGGTAGATAGTTTTATCTCCGGCCTACTTAGGTCCATCATTGCAACACCGTTGTTTTTAATAGTGGTTTAAGATGGAGCTAGCTTTTGTAGCACTGTAATGATCAGTTCTCATATATGAAGCACATACAATATGGAGCATGTGCAATTTATGTTACATGATTACAGTAAATGTGTAAAGATAAAGTTAGATAGCTCACAAATCTGAACAATGACAAGTAATTTAGGTTGTTAGCGAATTTCCCATAAGGAAATAAGCTCCTAGACCTGGGATTAATTTACTTATTATTTGTTTTGATGTCCCAGAGGGCAAAATCACCATCAGTTCAAGTTCGTATATGGATATAAGTGCGGGTATGTGTCCACGATAAATTGAGTTAAGATTATCCTATTTTGAATAAATCCTGTACTAATGTGTTAATCTACTTTAACTCGATCAAGGACGAAGGAAGTGAACCAGCAAGATCGGTATACAGTATATGGGAAACGGGGATTTATGGGGTAAAAATTAGGTTTTCCCGTTTTGACCCCAAAATCACAATTTTTCGCAATTTATTTCTTAAATATTTTGTAGAGTTTAAAATCAATTAATTTAGTATACTGAGGCGTTGTTTGTGTGCCTAAATAGTTGTGTAGAAAATTTCTAATTACTGTTAATTTAAGATTCTTATGTTATTCATACGGAGAATGGAAACTGTTGTAGTGATTTTTTTCATTACATACATTTCAGTAAAAAACAAACGGTACTCATTAAAATTAATGTTATTTAAATAGAAAATAAAACAAAAAAATTTTAGGGGAATATTTGATTAAAAATCCAACCAGGTAAATGGAAACCTACTCAGTCTGCAGGTTTGCTGTGGCGGGTTTATTTTTCATTGCGTCATTACAATTCAACATAACGTGCTAAACAATAATGTATCCAACAAACATTAAAAGTAAGGACAAAATGGTTAGAATAAAGTATTACACTTTCCAAAACAAGAAATGGAAATCGTATTCCATTTCTTGTTCCATGTTCACATTGATGAAAATTTGACATGAACACGGACAAAATACAAAATAAAATACAGAGGAAGACGATCGTACGTATTGTTAAATTATTTAATAACACAAAGCACTTGGAATATACGGCGCCATCCTTGCTGTTCCTTACTTCTAGCTGGAATTGAGAGAGGTTTTGTATTTTACAATCGACATGTTGTGGAGTAAAAAAACTTGTACTTTATCGCTATTATTTTACAAAAAATATTTTTGATCTATAGTTAATGTACAGGATGTCCCGAAAAATGTTTCAGGATTTGCGCATATGATTCCTCATATTAAGAGAAAGAAAAGATTCGCATGTCTGAAAATGCATACCCAGATATCAGCCATTTTGTTTTTACACATAAACATCTTTATCTTTAAAATTTTCCAACCAATTGCTATAAAACTTGGTATGTTTATCATAGTTAAAGAGATATACAGAGGGGGGCAAAAGTAAGTATACTATAACAAAACATTTTATAGAAAATGTTTATTAGGCCTAGTTCATACAAAAACCAAATTTTAATTGTATTTAAAGAATATTTACAAGCCTAAATTAACTTCACTAATTTTCTTTTGTGTTTAAACGATATGCCTTCACAGTCATCAACCATAAATGTAATGATGATGCATTGATTCCAGATACTAAGCAAAGCGGGAATGTATAGTTAATTTAATCAATAACCAAAATACTAATAACATTGCTTTGTCTATTGTCCCATAAAAAGTTGTTGCAAAAATCTGCACAAAAAATTTGGATAAAACTCTACAACTGTACTACAAAGTAGAAATTAATAAAGCATATAATTATAATGTCGATATTATTTATAAACTTAAAGCTTATGTTTATGAATCAAACATTCTGATAATCCATAAAACAAAGTCCATACAACTAAAATCTAACGATCTAACGAACACATATTTTTTTTAATTAATTTAAAATACAAGAAATTTTGTTGAGGGATTGATAACTGTATTGATTTGTTTTTATTTTTCAATATTTATACCCAATCGATTAATATTTTATAGTCAACCTAACATTTTTGGATTTATATTACAAGTTACTATATCTAGATAAAAATTAAATCGACATTCTTGCCGTAACATTCAGACATAACTAACATTCGAGGGAAAAATAAGAATCGTAAACAATATGAGTGGCTTCATAAAAGTAGTTTATTGTTTCTCAAAGTGCCTTGGCAGTTTATATGAGGGCAGAATAGTAGGGAAACATTTTGTGGGCTGGATTTATGTTTTAAGTGTATCTTTTCTATACCGTGTATTAAAGGCACCATAGTTACCTACCATATATTTTACGTAATTATAATAGGTAAATAAGGTTATTAATTATAGTAGGTATATATTATAATTCAGTAGATAAGATGAAGGTGTCGAGAAAGTGTGTTAATTTATGAACAATTTAAGTAACATGTAAATACAAATTTTCAAAAACGAATAAGAAATGGCAATACTTTTCTTGACTCTTGACATCTATTTCCTGATGCACAAATTCAATAATTCAACCCAGCATAACCCGATCACAACCTGTCGCAATGTGTGTATTTGGCGTTCACTTGCTGTTGGTTACTCATGCCACTCCAAAATGTATGTTATGTATTTTCCAATTACTGTAATAATTACTTTTTAATTGAAAACTCCAACAATTACCAAAATCACTTTAGTATGTTTTAATTTTAATTACCATACCATGTGTAAGATCCAAAACAGGTACTGTATTGCGAACACAACAAATCACATAGCCTAGCCTAAAGAAAGACAAAGAATAAAATATAATATGGAATTTGGCAGAAAATTTAAATTAATAATACACGTTTTTATTTAATTAAAAATAGTAACTTTCCTTGTAATGAAATATAATTTTTAATTGTTGTACACATTAAACATAAGTGATTTTTAAAATAAAATCAATTT